TATCCGCCGTTCGTTTCTCCCAGCAAGAAACGACGATGGCCCCTTTCGGTTTCTCCTCGCCGCAGGGAAGAAATCGATTCGATACGCAGACCCGATGTTCCTCGCGAAATTCACCTCTTCCACCGTCTCCTCCTATTTTTCCTCCATCGTATTCCCCTCCCCCACTCCTCCATTTAAATCTGCTTTTTAAACCTGCGAGCGCTTTAAATCTCGCGCGTTTCCTCCTGAATGTACGTAATCTCGTATCGTGCGTATTTTAAATATATATATCGTAAATATATCGCGAAGCGTCTGGAACATACACTCGAAGATACGCCGGCGAGCGAAATTTAAATTTAAATTTAAATTTAAATTTAAATTAGGACACCTCGAATTTTCAATATTTCCCATTCGTTTTAGCCAGATTGAGAAACGCCCGGCCTGCACTACAACTCGGCGGCGCAAAGTTTCATTGATTAACATATACGCGATTAAAATTTGCTGAGGCAAGGCGTTAATAATGTTTCATTCCTCCGCTTTAATTACCGGACGCGTGTCACGCGATTCACGTCACTCTTTCGTCGCGAATTCTCGCGGCGATTGGTAGGATTGTTAATTTTCTATTTCCATTCGAAACTGCGAAAAATTTGTTGTACGTAAACCGACGAATTGTCGTTACAACGAAATTGTTGTGACTTGACAGCAATTCCATTCAGTATGTTTCGTGCTGTTGAGCTGAAAACTACAGACCACAGACCACATTTCTCGGAATTTTCAGTCCGTGGTGGAGAAGAGGCGAAAAAATTTATTACTTTAAATGAAACATAAAGAAAAGGAATTTCGAAAATATCTTGTCAAATCATTATGTGTATAATGTGTATGATCTTTCGCAAAGCAGTCTTGAGTGCAACAGAGTTACATTAAGTATAAAGATATTCTTCTTTTGGAAAAAATAATGTCAAGGGAATGTAACTTGGACTAACGAAGAAGCAAAAAGAACCAATTTTCTGTATGATATACATATTTGAATCAAAGAGTAGTTTGACGCTCTTTTTGATGCAATTTACATGCAACTTCTCGCTGCGATGAAAAATTTATAGGACGAAAATAAGAAAATCAGAAAAAAAAAGAAATCACAAAATTCTTCGAACTCGAACCGATGTAATATCCTTGGAAGGAACGTAGAAATATAATTCAGTAAATGTTATAAATATATAGCAAAGAATCACGCTGACGTCATTGTAAAGTAAAAGTTCGAGGATCCCTGGAACAACGAATAAGAATGATATTCGACATAAAGAAAAGGAATTTCAAAAATATCTTGTATGTATATCAATTTTCTGTATGATATACATATTTGAATCAAAGAGTAGGTTGACGCTCTTTTTGATGCAATTTACACATAAACTTCTCGCTGCGATGAAAAATTTATAGGACGAAAATCAGAAAAAAAAGAAATCACAAAATTCTTCGAACTCGAACCGATGTAATATCCTTGGAAGGAACGTAGAAATATAATTCAGTAAATGTTATAAATATATATCAAAGAATCACGCTGACGTCATTGTAAAGTAGAAGTTCGAGGATGCCTGAAACAACGAATAAGAATGATATTCGACATCGAATGTAATATCAGAATTCAGAAAAGACATATTTCTACGCGAGCACAAACAGGATGTGTTTACAAGCGTATTGCAATTATGCATGTTACATAGAACGCGTCATTGCACGTCGGCAGCCGAGCAAACGTAAACATTAGGGAAAACACGCGGATCGGCGAGAATGCAGGGTGAAACGTGTAAACAACATGCAGGGTGAGAGTACGTCATGCGAAACGGTGCAATGTAATAGAGACTCAGATGGAGTACGGTAACGGTATCAATAAGGCTCGATCGAACGATCCGGGAGCACGTTACTTTATCCGATCAGGTATTTGCTTGAGGAAAAGTCCATCGCGTGCTCGGAAACGGCTCGGGAGGAAAACTAACGGTTAAGGGATGCGATACTGAGAGACAAGAATACCGGCACGGAACAGAGCATGGAACAGGATTGATGCGTATAACATTCAATATTGAATGAAGCGCATTCTCGACAAATAGACTCGGTGCCGGTGTGTGTTTCGCGTGTATCGTTGAATCGCTTCGATCGCTGCTCCTTCTTCGATTTGTCGAATTTTCTGTGTATCCTGTAAAGTATCGTTACGAAGGACGTTGCGCAACCGGTATTATTCAGTCCTGAATTTCCGCAGATTCTTCGAAATATCTATTCGTTCGAGAAAAGGAAAGCGAACTTTTGTCGAAGAAAGTGACAAATACGGACGACAGATCGGAGAAAGAAGGAGAGAAGGAAGAAGTGGGTTTAATGGTTAGATGGCGAGCTTTAACGACAGAACTAGCAGCGAGAGATATTTACGCGGCAGCCATATGGTTGAGCAAGGGGGAAACAGTTCTTAAAATGACGCTCATAAATTTTGGTAAACGGCCACGCTGGAATTTATATTCCGCGTACAGCGAAGGACGGGTGTAGCGCCGGCGTTTCACTCTCGCGCGCAGTTACGCGCCGGTATGCAAGCTAACCTATATAACTTCCGGTATCAAGCGTCCTCGCGGATCCTCGTTACCGTGGTCGAAAGACACATTCCGGCCCGCAGTTCCGTTAACGTGGTTGCCACTAATTGAGAAAAATTGTCCGCGACCGTGGACCAGGACAAAGGAGACACGCGCCTCGAGGATTTATCGTACCATTTCTCCTTTGCCAAATTTACCGCGTCTCCTGCCAATTAAAGCCGCTTCAATTTGGATTAATCTGTGGCCTGGAGTGCCTCTGGCGGTCCTACGTTTCCCTACCGCGTTTCCTACCTTCGTTTAATGTTCGCCTGAAGATTATAAGATGTTTGAGGGACCGTTTCATTAAAAGTTGTAGCCGTTTCCAGAGGGACCTTCATGTTGATGGTAATATCCCGAGTTTACAAATAATTCTTCCTTTGTGTCGTGGATTACATTCCCTTGCGCAAATATTGACGGTACGAAACAATGTGTACCTTCCGGGTTAAAGAAATATTCCTGTTTGCAGTACACACCGAAAATCTGGAATACCGGGAACGCGGAAGCTTCTCGCAGAATTTATTTCTTCATTTGGGAACAAACAGGATTCGACTAAAAGTAAGCTACTGTTCCTGAGTATTCGTAAGTGGTATCCGTTTTACTGGCCCCCATACGGAGCGAGGTAATTGGCCCAGATTAGCCAGGAAACGATTAATCGATTGGAATTTTGTGCTCGTGGAAGATTGCCATTCGATACGCGTAACGGCAATCCCTTAAAAATCGTTCGCAAGAATTACAAAAATATACCTACTACCTTCACACACTCGAAAAAGTTTAAAGAGAATTAAACTACAAAAATTAATGAAATTATTATTGGATTACAGTCAATT